AAGTCGTCTGGTCGGACTGGACGCTCTGAATAGACCGTTGTTTGTGTAATTTTGTTATTTATATTTATTTAAGTACTTGCTTTATTTAACAGGGTTGGATAATTATTGAAAAAACAAATCACAGTTAAATGTATTTGTTGCCCAGCACTACTATAAATAATTATTGAAAAAACAAATCACAGTTCAATGTATTTGTTGCCCAGCTCTACTATAATGTGGTGAAGGTTTGTAGCTCCCAAACTTCTGAAGGTTTGTATATTGCACTAGCTCCCAAACTTTCCTGCAGGACTCCCCTCCCCCATCATTATGGAGAGGGCTGTTTTAGGACTCCCACTCAGACACTCACAGCTAAAGAAAACCAGTTGTTAACCATCACTAACAAACTAACAAACAAATACGGAAACTTTTTGAACTAAAAACATCTTTAATAGAATAGAATGTATTTCATGTTGTATTTTTCTTAACTGATTTTTTTAATTTTTTTTTTTAACAGCTGATGGGTGTCGGCACTGGGAGCATCACAGTGGAGCGATGGAGGCTCAGGCTCAGTGGGCTGGGAAGCTGCTGCAGGAGTACCTCAGGACAGTGGAGGCTTCTGGGATTCCAGGACCTCACGGTGACGTGCTCCAGTCGACGAAGGACTGTCCGGCCAAGATGGGTCAAGGTAGAGATGTAGAGTAGAGTTAATGTTAGATTTTTTTTCAGTGTTTTTCCAGTGTTTCTGCTAATGTTGTTACAGTTATTAGAACATCTAAATATGATTTATTTCAAGTCTCTACCTGAAACAACTAACTGTTTGTTTCCATATGAGAATTGATTTAGGGTTCGATATTTAATTCAAGAACTCGTACTCCACGACAGTGACCTTACACCACTTTTATACTTTTTTTTCTGGAATGAAAAATCCTTCTGATATTTAGAATAAAATACAGTGTTACCTTCCAGTTTACTACATATCTATTGAAAATGCTCATACTTTTATACATGTACAAGTATTAGTAATTTCGAGCGTTTCCTGTGTCTGATTCAGATGGCCAGTCCAGTCCCAAGTTGAACGCCACTGACAAAGAGCAGGGAAACAACCGGAATCATTTTTCAGCACCTATCGGCTCGTCACTGAGGAGACTGCGATCCAGCTGCATCGTGGTCCGAATGGACGATGTGGACATTCACCAGGTAAGTTCTTGTCCCCAGCTGGTTGTTGTCCAGCGGCTGCTTTGGAAGCTTGACTCTGTAATACGTACGGCCACGGCCTTTCTGTGAACTCGGTGTGACAGTCAGTGTCCTTGACATATCAGAGCGATGACTTAAACCTCTAACAGATGAAACAATGACAGAAGAATGTGGAACGAAGATGAAGTTACACGGTGATTAGCAACAATTTCTAAACATATTTGAGAAAACCACATTTTGACTCTCAGTCTGCTTCTGCTTTTTAACCTTTGGTTAGTTCACACATTTCATCACTCTGTGTTATTTCGGGGTAGGAGTAGTTCCTCATTTGAACGTACTGCAACCGAGAGAAACTTTTAAAAATGCCCACAGGTTCAAACAGGTGTTTTTAGTTCCGTTTTATTTTTTGCTTAAGCTCTCGCCCAGTTAATAATAATTTCTTTTGTCTCAGGGGAATAAAAATGTCTCAAAGGTGTCCTTCCTCTGATCTTAAATCCTCAGGTGTCCACAAGAGGGCGTCAGAACAAGAAGACTCAGTCTCTGTTGTCCTGTAACCGCAAAACTCTGCAGCTGCCCGACGGTGTACCGGCCGTTCACCTGCAGTTTACTGAATACTACTTCTCTGACAACCCCAGTCTGTCAGGTGCAGAGACCCGCAGCCTTACTGTCACTTTTTTTATTTTTTTATTTTTTGTATGTATCTGTGGTGTTTTTAAAGTTGTAGCTAACCAGCAGCCACTCTCCTTGTTCTTTTCAGTTCCCACTTCCAGCTTGTCCGCCCCGTTGAACAGACTGCAGTTGTGCGTGGACCCGGCCAGTGTGCTGTGGATCAACCTTTTCTCCCGTGGTCTGCTGCATACCCTGGAGCAGGTCAAGGCCTTCTACCATTTACAGGACAGCTGCAAAGCCGAGGAGCACGTCGACGTCCGCATGGATGCCGTTCACCTGAAGGTGAGTGGAGTAACGGGAGTCTGCATCTCATCTGCAACGTGGACGTTTTGATTCAGTTTTTCTGTTCGCAACAAGTGCTTCATAGACTGGTTTAGTCCGTTAGTAGTTTAGTCCGGGTTATGTTACCTTCACAAATTTGTCCAACTGGGAATTGTGGGTAAAATCTCAGATGACACAGCACTGTGTTCTTCTGTGTTAGTTTTTCTTAGTTAGTTTGTTGTTTATTTTTTTCTGCGATTTTGCAAAAACAGTTTGTTGTGTTTCTTACTCCACTTTTTTGATCCTGAATATAAAAAAAGAAATTAAAAAAATTAGACAGTTCCAAAGGATTTTTCATGAATATAAAAAAAGAAATTAAAAAAATGAGACAGTGGAGAAAGTGCATATATTCACAACATATGTAGTTAATTTAAAAATGCTAAAGTTTTACCAAGTACATTTTCTAATAAATAGTATTTTGGGTTCTGCCTCATACAGTACATATTTAGGTTTGGAGAATTTTAACTAAAAAAATAAATGACCTCTTTTTTTTTCTTTTTTTTTTAGCTCATAATTCCACTGGATTCGTCCATTTTGGATCACCCTGAACGTCCACAGTCGCTGTCTGTCACTCTTCCCCAGATGGTTCTCAGCAACACCCGCCACTGCCCCCACGGCTCCAGAGCTGATCTCAGTTCTGTCTATGACAAATTTGCCAACTGCTCTTTCTTCCAGTCCTCACCACCCTGCTCTTACCCCAGAGAACAGAGTGCCTTCCATCCCATTCCCTCCACTTTCTTCCAACATTCTCAACAGACAGAGGCTCAGCCTCTGGGTAAAAAGCAGTTACGATCCCAGGATATGTGGTCACTCAGCTTATCCCGCGTGACCTTAGGTTTTGATGGCGCCCGACACGTCCCCAAAGGCCGGACGCAGCCTTTCATTGAACCCTTTGCCGTGTCCGTGTGGATGTGTCAGCCGACCGTCACTAAAAATGGTCTGTCGCCATCCTCCCCCGGTCCGATTCACCGGTCTTCCTCGGAGCAGGGTGAGGGTTCACTCGCCTCCGTCCACTTCCTAGCTCACACAGTCACTCCACTCAAACTGTGGCTCAATCACTACCAGTATGTAGCGCTGCTGAGAATGAAGGACGCTTTGGCCCGGTTGGGGGCAGAGTTGGGCCGAGCTCTAAAATACGAGAAAAAAGTTCGTAGCGAGACGACACAACACGC